TCTTCTATAGACATTTCTTTCTGTTCTCCTAATCTAATGTGGTCCTCATCCTGGTCAACCCAGATTGACCCTCAAGGTAGTGACCACTTCTCTATACTTATCTCTCTATCCACAAATGGTAACACCGCCTCCAATATTCCCAGATCTTCCACTCCAAACGACGTAACTTCTCCATCTACACCCAAGGAATTCAATCTTAATAGAGCCGATTGGAACCTATTTTCCGACTTAATTAACCACAACATTACGCATATTGATAACTCATTGAGCCCAATCGAAGCTTACAACTTGTTTATCCAAATAATTTTAGACTCCGCCAATCAGTCTATCCAACGCAAACACATTAACAACAATCTCTATCCCCCTTCTCCTCCATGGTGGGACTCCACTTGCACCCAAGCAGTCAAAAATCGCAATAGGCTATTTCAAATATACCGCCGCTCTGGCGCCATTCAAGACTTTTACAGATATAATAACGCTTGTTCCCATACCACTCGATTACTTAAATCTAAAAAATCGAACGCCTGGAAATTATTTTGTAACAACCTCAATCCTTCCTCATCCATCACGTCGCTGTGGAAAACTGCCAAACGTTTTCGGAATTGCATTCACCCACTCACCCATCCACATAACGATGTATGGTTTAATGATTTCTGTTCAAAAGTCGCACCCTGCTATGTTCCCTCGGAATCTGAAACCACCTCCAATCTTGCAGTCAACCATTCACACCCACCTTCTTCTCATTGTCTAAGTTTACCGCTAACTATTAGCGAACTTAACACTGCAATTTCTTCGCGTAAATCCGCTGCCTCTGGCATCGATTGTATATCCCCTCTTATGTTAAAACACCTACCCACCAATGCATTAGAAATTTTACTCAAAATACTTAATAATTGAATTGATTCTAATATAATTCCCTTATCCTGGACCGAATACAAGGTAATTCCTATTCCAAAAGCTCATTCGAATAATTCATTCCGCTCGATTGCTTTATCTTCTTCGCTCTGTAAAGTTGTCGAACACATTTTTAAAAATAGACTAGACTGGTGGTTAGAGTCTAACTTAATCCTTCCTGACAATCTGTACGCTTTCAGACGAGGTAGGGGCACCACAGACTGCCTTGCCAACTTTATTGGTGACATTTATCAGTCTTTCAATAATAGAAATTACCTTGTTACCACCTTTATCGATATTCGAGGCACCTTTGACACCGTAAACATTCTTCTTTTAATCTCCTACCTAATTGAATTAAATCTCCCACTCTCCTTCACCAATTTTATTTTTCGTCTTTTCTCTCATTTTTCTAGTTGAGCGTATTATAAAAAAAGTTAAAGATAAAATGCTTGTTAAATGGTTAGGTTTTGATTCAAGTCATAATTCATGGATATCATCAACAGATATTTTAAAATAAAAATTTTTTTTTATTTATGTATGTTTTATTAAAAAAAATAAAAAATGTATTATGTTTTTGAATTGAATTAATTATTTATTTTATAATTACCATACGCTAGTGTATTAATCCCATCATCCATTATAAAACGTTTATCATCGTTTGCACTTAGTACGAGTTTATTCATTGTTTTTGAATGGACAATATGTTTATTCGATTGAATAAAATTCATTTCTCTACGAGTTAGGTTAAAAATATATATTCAAAAAAATATAATTTTGATAAATATATATATATTAAAAAACCTCCTCTAGTCTGTTTAAATATATTTTTTATATTTAAAAAAAACTCGGTTTACTATTATTAATAAAATAATCAACTGTAACTATTAAAAAAATTAAAAGTAATACTTCAACTTTTAAAAAACGTGAGACACTAATCATACTTTATATTACATATATACCACTTATGGTACTATTCAATTAAATATTAAAATCTTAAAAGCAATAATATTTAAAAAAAAAAAAAAAAATATATTTAACCGTATGAGATATTATATTTTTAAATATATATATTAATAAAAAAATAGAAACAATAAGTACTTACATATTTGTTTGCGAAAAAGGTATCAAATAAATCTGATGTCTTCTATTGCGGTCCGCTGCATTAACTTGTGTTCACTTGAGTTCACAATGAAAACTGGTGATTTTTTCAAAAAATATTTTCTAGTTATATAGCCCCAAATTTCCATCTCTATGATCATCAATTTCATTCGTTTTAAGATAACCTTTATTATATATTTTGGGGGACATGTTTAAAAAAAAATAATTGCCAATAACAACTATCTAATATTTAGCAAGTATGTGGAATGAGTATGTGAAATCATAGAAATCATATATTTTGATTTTAATGGTTTGAGACCTATCCGTTGTCTTTCAACTTATAGTTTATTACATTATAAAACGTATTTAAAACGGTTCTAGGAACTATATTAATCAGGTACAAGTTTAAAAAAAAATAATTGGCAATAACAACTAACTAATATTCGCATATATGTGGAATGAGTATGAGAAATCATAGAAATCATATATTTTGATTTTAATGGTTTGAGACCTATCCGAGGTCTTTCAACTTATAGTGTATTACATTCTAAAATTCGTAGAAGACCTCGTACACGTACATGAGTGCTTTCTTAAATTATATCCGTGAGAATAACAACTTAGCCAAAAAAGTGGTTATAACAAATCATGCTTATGGAGGGTGAGGAGTGTAAGAGGAAACATAGCATATAAGGAGACTAGCTAACACAGTGTACACAGTATACCTCATTGAGTCTACACCGTCCTCACGTCTCTTATTTTTGTACTCAAATTTTTTTCTATTTTTTATTAAATTTATTTTAAAATTAAAAAAAATGTCGTGTTATTCAGTTAAAAGTGATGATGAAGAAGAATGCTTTTCTGCAAGTGATGTAAGTAAAAATATATATATATATATAAATACAATATTTAAGACTTAGTTTGATTTAAATTTAAATATTTAATGCTAATAATAAATAATTTTTTAATAAACTAGGTATTAACTAATCGCTTACTATATTTATAGGTTGAAATTATGGAACCAGAAATTAAATCGATGACGAAATTGACCGGACAAAAAAGGAAAGATGTGAAAAATAGAAAAACGTTAAAAAAAAAACCAAAAAAAGTGAGTAGTATAACATTTTATAAGATATTCAAAGAATAAATTTATAATTTGATTTTATAGAATATTTCTTATCAAGAAAAAGTTACCCAATTAATACAAAATGAAAAAATTGCAAAAGATGTTATGAATTCGATTACAATCAGACAAAGTGGAGGAGTTGTAACTATTAAATCGGTTGTTGATGAAAAATGTACTGATTATTGGACGTTGGCACATTATAAAACCAAAAACATTGAACATATTGATGCTAAAGACAGGTAATATATATATATATATATATAAATGAATATTTTTTTTCTTTGTATTTACTTTGAAATAAAGTTAGTGTATATTAATGTAAAAATACTCATTTATGTGATTTTAGGTGGAAACATGCAGAATGTTCATTAAAACTAGCGATAACAGACCAGTCGAAAGATCAGAATGTTTTAGGAGAGCTGAATGAAATTGTACAAACGCTCTTTGATCGTTTTATGAAAGACCCAAAAAAAAAAAATTATACAAAACGTTTTTTCAAAATAATTTATATATATATGTATTTATCATGATGACGGTAAATAAAAATAATAATAAAAAAACTTGAATTATCATTTTTTTTATTTATTTAAATAAAAATAAAATAGTACATTTAGAAATTGAAAAAAAAAAACAAAAAATATATATTTAGTTTAATATAATATAATAAATATGAATACAGTATAAAAGTAGTAATAATTATAAAATGAACATTTTTTATAAAAAATTTTTAGCAAACAAAAAATATGAGTATCAAATCTAAAGGTTTTAATTTTTATTACATTACCAAACCTTGTACAATCATATTTGATAATGAATTAAAATGAAATTGCAACAACTCGTACATGAATGAAATATCATCACTTTGAATATTTCTATAACTAAAATCATAATTTTGAATATATTGGTTTGTAAATTCATTTCGTTGACAAGACGATGGTAATCCATTGACGTCGGCCTTTATCAACGCATATGCTGTATCAAATGTTTTTTGGTATGATTCCAACTTCTTTTGTTTTTCAACAATATACAAGTCGATACAATGTTGTAATTGTTTTAAACGATGTAAATCAACGTGAGATAATGTTATATAATTATTATTAGAATATAAAACAATAGTCGATTGGTTAACATTAACGGAATAGAAAAAGTTGTCAGCTATTTTAACACGTTTACATCGGGTATGTAAATTATCAATAATTGCGTTATAATTATTTTCACACATTAATGTACACCACTGATCTAGGTCTAACGTAACAATTATTTTAGTTAATTTACATTCTAATAATATAATAATTGAAATCTGTTTATTAATCAAAAGTCCAACTGTTACACTTTTCTTTCCAAAAGGACGGATATCGAACACTGATTTTGATACAACGAATGGTGGATTCATATTATATAACGATAAGTTCTTTGAAATTATAAAACGATTTTCAAATTAATATTTATACGATTATTTAAAAAAAAAAAAAAAAAAAAAAATGAATATAAACACTATGACAGTATAGCTTAAACTAACAGTATTTTTTTGCTCACACATGTTATATACTAAAACTGAAGAGGTTAAAAAAGAAAAAAACGGAAAAAAATGTGAACGTATAGTTTAGTTGGATAGCGTGTCGAGGGTTATTTATCTACTTACGTATACCATTGAACCTGAAAATTAATCTTAACAAATTTAATTTAAACTAGACGCGTTATCCCACTAGACTATACGTTCACGAAATATTAAGATAAATATTAACATATTTAAATTGTTTCTTATAAAAACAGAAAAAAAAAATATATTAATAGAAAAAAATATTAAATTACAGTATCATATGTCTTAAATTCATAATCACATTGACATACATCGTTAATCTTTCCGTTATTATTTATTATATTTTCAACAAACTGATTTCCTTTTGATAATAATACGTATTATACACTTTGGATTCCATCTTATGTGTTCAATCCATGGAATATCATCTTTTTCCCAATTATGTAAGATGAGTCCACAGCAAAAACATTCGACAATATCTTTTTTCCCTGAATATTTAAAATCGCTTTCAGCTAATGAGTATTTATCTTGAGACGAAGTTAACGGGAATAAGTTGAATGTTTTCAATCTTGAAGAAAATGTTGTATATTCATACAACATAGGATATGCATTATTTCGTACTAAAGAAACTAGTGAACAAAAATTGTTGCTAAAATTTTGAAAATTCATTTTTTGTAAAAATAAAGAACTTTTTAATAAGCAATAGGTCTTGATCGAATGATGGTTTAACACTAACTAAACTGAACTAGATTAGATTATTAATTTTAAAGTTTGAAAAAACTTTAAATTTAAAATTGTAGTGTGACCAATAAACTGTTTTTGTGTTAAACGAAAAAAAATTGAGCACAAGATTAAAATTACAGTGTAACTAATATAAATAAACTGTTTTTGTGTTACACGGAGACGAAAATGAGCTCAAGGGGGATATTCCCCCTTAAACTTTAAAAATCTCCCTGCCCAAAAGTGCTGTGAACATACAAATACATACTACTGGCACCCCCGGGTCCATTCACTTAAGTCCAGACCCCAGTGTTACGTACCGTGTTATTTCAACACATATATATTATACGGAGAGGTGATGCGTATACCGATGGAATAATATATTCAAACAGTGTAGCACCAACGAATAGGGCGAACACCTGCACATCGTGATATTTAATATAATGATTAAGACATGGTCACACGTCCTGGACTTCTCAGAAATGATGAGTAAACGATAGTGTTGACATTGTACTATTTAATATGACAATTAAGACTTGATCACACGTCTTGTAATTCTTAGAACCGATGAAATCGCAGGAAAGGCACCCAACTGAATATTACATTTAATTTAGAGAGCTCCTTTAGGTCATCAGAAGTCGCCACCTCCCCAGTGACCACTCTTGACAGTTAACCATATATAAGGGAGACCGGGGCAAGAGCTCAGCAGACGGTTAGGGATATTCGAGACGCTCAGAGGCAGGTCGTAACACCACTCACACCATCTTGTGCTTATAAAATTGTATTCTTGTACGAGTTAATTGTATTAAATAAAGACTTAATCTTTTAACTTGCAAACATTAGTATTTCTATTTCTACGTTGATATATGAATCGACGTTGACATAAGGGACGCAACATATGATATTAAATTTTTTTATAGCCTAATTTCAGATGGCTCTAATTTCATACCATTTAAATGTATTATTATTTCATCATCTAATTTGTAAGAAATTAAATAAGCACTTGTAAACTGTCATAGGATATATTATTTTAAATATTAGTATTAGTTATACAAACCTTTAGTTATAACAATTCTTCTTTCAATATATTCTACACAATCTAATTGAAAAGAATTTAATTTGTAAAAAGTTATGTATAACTTGTTAGATGCTGTATTACACATATCCATAAACCAATGATCAGGTAATTTTAAGTAATTCCGATTTTTTAACAAATTAAAGTATGGTGAATTTTGTTCTATTTCTATCAAGTCAATCTGTTATATATAAACGAGTAACTTATAACCAAAATACTGTATTTATATTTATTTTATACTACAAACACATACCTTCCTCTTTTTATTTACTGACGTTCAGTGCCGGCGGAAGGGCAGGGCAGAAGGGCAGCTGCACAGGGCCCCGCGCCTAAAATGGCATGTAATAATTTGTAATACTATAAATTTGTTTTTAATATTAAAAATACAAGTCCCATCTGTAGTAGTGCCTCGTGGGTTTTTAATGAAGTGCATATAAAACAAAAAAAAAATGTAACCAATATATTATATTACGAATAATTTTATGAATATTTAATTATAATTTCGATAAAAATAAGAAATGCGATTGTTGTTTTAAATTTACGATAATGATTGATAAATATTATCAGCTTATATAATAATACGCGTGAGTGTAAAATTAAATTATAAGACTGACGAACAACGCCAACGACGACGTCTAAAATAATTCGCTGAAAACAATGTAATTTATTATGTGTACATCAATTCCAATAATTTCATTATAACCTCGGGTTGCGTGTTTTTCTTTCCGAAAATACGTATAGTTTATCGTATTATTATTCATTTATAGTTGAAGAATGATTGTGTACTCCTTATCTAGTATGTGACGGGTGTCCGCATGACCACAAAGACACAATCGGAGTGCACTTTCTGTTGTCATTTCATTTTTTTTTCATTTTAGAGTATTAGACAACTAATAATTAATATTAAACTGTCTAGTTGTGCGATAGCGAATCAATCCTCGACATACTCTTGTTACGATTATATATGTATTTAACATTATTTATCGGAAATCCTTCACAACTAAGTTTGTAAAGAATATTATTTCTAAATAATTAAAATTATCGGTATCTGTGTTTCATTTCATGGCTGGAATTGTCCACGACGCAACGTGTGTCTATAACTATAAACTAATAGCTATTAATGTGACTTAAGTAGTTAAGTTTATACTGTTTACCAATCAGTCACCAGTCCAGCAACTGTAATTATATTGGTAAGTTTTGAATATTTTTTTATTTTTATTATTAAATATTTTTCTTCAAAACCAAAATTTCCGGCCGTGATCGTGATAAATTTCGAAAATATATTAGTGGAAGTGAAAAAAGAAGAAAGAAACAACAGAAAGAAGAGTTACAGAAAAAAGAACGCGGCACTTTCGATAAATATGTTATTCGATCAAACGAAGTTATTGAAGTAGCAAATGCTGTAATTTTCACATTAGATGAAACCGATAATCATATAAATATAGAAAATAATTTAATTGAAAATAAATTAAACTTTGAATCCGATAATATTGATACAGATAAAATGTTTAATGTTGATAAAAATACTTCTGAAAAATCTATGTATAATACTCATACTGATTTAGAGAAACAAATTACTAAAGACGTTAGCTCCATACTTGACTTTAATGAGCCGCAACGTAGCCAGAATATATAAATAATGACTTAAGAGCTGATTTTGTAAAACATGGAACTATTAAAATAACCAATTACAACTTTCCGTATAATGATGATAAACCATATCCAAGAAGCTTCATAAAACAATATTATATTCATAGTATGGCAAATGGGGAAGTTGTAGACCGCCAGTGGCTTGTGTACTCAAAAATAAAAGATCGAGTGTTCTGTTTTTGTTGCGTACTATTTAGTCAAGGAAATTCAGAAAGTAATTTAGCTAATATCAAGGAAGGTGTAAACGATTGGAAGCATTTGTCGCAAAAGCTTTTACAAAATGAACGTTCTAAACCCCATTATTTATCTTTAAAGCAATGGTATGATTTAAAAATAGGTTTAAAGTCATTGGCTACTATAGATCAACAACATTTAGCTCAAATTGAAAAAGAAAAAACCACTGGAGAGCTATGCTTCAATGAATTTTATGCATAATTCAATACTTGAGTAAGCACAATGATGGATTTCGTGGGAAATCCTATGTTTTATTTACAAAAAATAATGGTAAATTCTTAGGTTTGATTGAAATGTTATCCACATTTGATTCGGTTACAATGGAACATGTACGACGCATTAAAAATGTAGAGACGCATACTCACTACTTGGGACATGGTATTCAAGATGAGCTAATCAACTTGATGGCAAATGAGGTTAAAAAAAAAATCATAAATGAAATTCAACAATGTAAATCAGTTCCGCGGTGGAAGCCATCCGATACACACGTGTCTCGTGCGCTCCTCTCGTAATTAATTAAATTGTACTCGCTAGCGTTCACTGCCCAGTGACGGCCGTACATGTTTTCGCCCAAATGACCTTTTTTACCCAAACTTAAAAAAGAGTGATTTGGTTTTCGCCCAAAGAAATATAATTCATAGGAAACGAAAAACATTTTGGTTACCACTATATTTTTTTTTATTAAATATGTGCCTATGCCCTTTAGTCTATACATACATAATATTTAAAAAACATATGTTTATAAGTTTTTTATAATATTAAAAACCAAATTATTTGTCAAAGTTATAGCACATATAGGCCAGTGTAAAACATATAAGTCAATGTAGGTAAATAATATATATAAAAACATAGAAAAATTAATTTAAATTGTATATAAATTTAAAACATATTAAAAAAAATAGTATAATATTAAAAACCAAATTATTTACCAAAGTTATGGCACATAGATTTTATAAATTCGTATCGTGTGAGCCTACCAGATTTGTATTTCATAATTTTTGATTGGTTAATTTCTTGTCGCTTGTATTCTTTCGAAATTTTCAAAAAATGTGCACTATTAATTTTAACATAAATGTCGACTTGAACTTGGAGAATAATATTTAACCATGGTATAATAGACGGTAATTTTGTATTGAAATTTTTATTAAAGTGCGAGTGAAATGATTCGCATGTATTTGTAGTTAGCCTAAGACTTGAAGAATTACAAGCCCAAAGCTTAGGAGGAAAAGTACTGTCTTCTGAAATATAATGTTCAGTTAAATAATCGCAGTATTGTGTTAACTTATCATCAATTGGACAATCTGCCATTAAATCCTCGACAAAACAGTCAGATACTTCTTCAGGCTCTAAAAATATTAAACCAAATGTACTATGTAACCATGTACCAATAACTGATGAACTATCATTGTAATCACTGACTAAACCAAATTTTTGTATGCTTCGCCACCATGACTGCGTTAGGTGAAATCTACAACCAATTATATGGCTTGAAGGCCAAAGTTTTGTGACGGCAATATGTATTGACATTTCAAAATCAATTACTACTTGTTTGGGTAAAAAAGTTTGTCCGATTCGATTACATTTATTGATAATTTGATTAAACACATATGCATAAGTTTCAGTTATTTTATCGGGCAACAAACAAATAACCAATGGTATATAATTTCCATTTTTAGAACCATGTATAGTAAACATTTGAGTCCAAAATCTAGCACAGCATTTAAATGTTCCGTCAACGTAAATTGAATCGACTTCACATAACATTTTTAAATTTGTTTCGCATGAAAAAATAACAACATTTTTTATTTGATCATTGAGAATTAAAAATTGTTCACCTTTACAAGTTATTACATTCATATTTTCTAAAGCTAATTGAGCTTCAATAATATTTTTAGGAATTACTGGAAGAACTTTTCTACGACTATCATATATAACATTTCTAATTTTATTTATATCGTCATTGGTGAAATTCTCTATAAAAGAACTATTTTGTGTTAATTCTTTTAGTATTATTTTTTTTGGATAAGTATGGGCATCATCTACTGCTTTACGTTTACACGCTGTACTCACAATTTGCCTATTAATTTCGTTTACGTTTGATGGATCGTGGTCGTGTTCAATGGAATCTAGTGCGCTCGTTACTATTCCTGCTGCAGTAGTGTATATCTTCGTTGTACAAATACGTTTAATACAGCGCCAACGAATTAAGCCAGTTGTAATATTTTCCGAACCAAAATTATACTTATAGTTCTTGAAAGCAATCATTTTTTTCCCTCTTTTACTTTCTAAAAACACAACGTCCATTTTCAAATTTAAGTAAAATGCTATATCGGAACGAACGAACGACTCGTAACTGCGGTATGTGATTTTATTTCAAATATTGTATCCGTACATTCAGCGCAATTATCGATTATAACTTATTTTTATCGGCGAGTAATGATAAGATGATCGCTAAACTAACAGTAGTACTAATTGGGTAAACCAATAAAACTTTATCGTAATAATTCATACCTTAAATCAAAAATAATAATACCGTTGCGTTTAAACGTTACGAAACGTTTAGCGTTATTTGATGGATACAGCGTGTTTTCTACACAAAACAGAGTGATTGAAAATTATAATATTACAAAAATAACCATACCTAATATAACTGATATTAGTATATTATTTTACTGATGGTTATAATTTTATAATTTTTTTTTCTATGTTTTTAATAATAATATGTTTCAATCGTTTATCGTTTACTGAATGCATTTTATTGTTTTTTTTTTATATTAATAGACAGTGGTAACCAAAATGTTTTTCGTTTCCTATGAATTATATTTCTTTGGGCGAAAACCAAATCACTCTTTTTTATGTTTGGGTAAAAAAGGTCATTTGGGCAAAAACCAAAAGGTCGATTTTGGGCGAAAACCGATTCGCCCCCAGTGACTATGAGTAAATCTTAGTCGTACTTTAGAATTTCTTTATTTTGAACCTACGCAGTGTTTTATTATGTTAAACTTAATTATGTCGCTTGTATAATTTCTCCAAAATCGTTGCTTAATATCCTCATTTAAGTTTGCCGTACTCACGTTACGCGTATTACGCAATAGTGCATACGAGTTCTCCTTATCTGCGACCGCCGCCGCAGTTAATTATGAATAATATTAATAATAAAGCTAATCAGCAAATCGGTAAACACAAAACAACAACGTCCAGTCAGCCAATTAATTCAATCCCTCACGGTTATAACACCAAAAATGTTGACGCAACTTCAAATAAAAATCCAAATGACAATTATACTATCGTTACAAAACAAGGTAAAAGAAATCTCTCTTCATCTTCTCAAACCTCATCGACAAGCGATCAGGTCAATAATAAATCACAAAATATTGCAACAAAAAAAACCAAACTGTTTAAGTCAACAAATCGATTCGAAATCCTAAATCAACTTGATGAGCCTGACCTAAGCGCGTCTTCGCAACAGCTGCCTTTCGAACAAAATAATGATATCTCAGACGATGTTTTCAAACCACCACCTCCTATTTTTGTTAGGGGCGTGGTTAACTACTTAGACCTATGTACAGCTTTAATAGAATTAATTGGTGTAGATAATTTTGTCTGTAAAACGACTGCTGATCGTTTAAAAATTCAAACTTCGAATCCCGAATCATACAGGGCACTTATTCACTTTTTAAAAGAACAAGAAGCGGAATTTCACACTTATCAGCTCAAATAAGATAAACCACTCCGTGTCGTCATACGTAACCTTCATCCAACCACTAATGTTGACACAATTAAAGAAGAACTCGAAGTTCGTTTGTTTGAAATAAGACGTGTTACAAATGTTCTCCACAAAGTAACAAAAATTGAAGGGTCCGGTGCAAGAACCGGGTATCTCCTCTTTTTGAAATTGTTCGGGAGAAACAAATAACCAAATTATTTGATTTCTAATGGGGGGATAAATATTGTTAACACACATTTGAATTCTCCAAATGAAGATCTATCTATACATGTGTACATATTTACATTTTAGATTATTTTAAGGGCATAATTTAATTAGCAAAAATAAATAAACATGGAGATACCTGGTTATTACACCAAAACGGAATTTCTTTTTTTCCATATTTTGACTTAATAATAATTTAAGGTGAAAATACAATCAGAAATAGTTCAAAGCTGTGCAACATTAAATCTATGTATCATAAGCTATGTTATAAAACATAGTATAAAAAAATACGACAACTTATTGATTCATAATAATTAATTAACTAAAAACTACGGAGATACCCGGTTATTGCACCGAAACTCACGATTTTCCCAATTTTTTTTTTTTATTTTCGTTAATTTTTTCAAAAGTATTGGGAATTGGACCTTTTCAAAGTACTAACTAGATTCACTTTTCTATCAGAAAAAGTACTGAACTCGAAATTAAAACATTGTTATTGATAAAAAAATTGTTAAAAAACACGCATTGTAAAATCAATCACTCCATCCAGAATCTGATACAGTTGTTACTAGGTTACTAGTTATTTTATTACTTATTACTACCCAGTAAAACAAATTTAATTTACATTACAAAATAAACAACTTACTTTAATTTTATAAAATTAAACAAAATTAGTTATCATAGGTTAGAACGTTAGGTAGCATAGTAGGTAGTATAGTTAAATAAAATATTCAAAATATAAAAAATGACAATACTAACTACCTACTCGTAGTTCGTACCTTATAAAATGAAAAAAGAAATAAAAGTTGTATTTCGTATTTCAAATAATATTTTGTTTATCTTGTATTACCTATATAGTTAGTCTTTTTTCATTTTATAAGGTACGAACTACGAGTAGGTAGTAAGTATTGTCATATTTTATACCTATATAGATACTTTTTATAATTATTATAAAAAGTATCTATATAGGTATAATGCTAGTTAAACAAAATATATAAATACGAAATAAAAAAAAATTTACTTTATAAAAATTTAACATTGTAATATAATGCAATTTTGTTAACAAAATTTAAATAATATGAAATAAAACAATTTTTACTGTATAAAAATTAGAAAAAATAAACTAGGTAATCATGATAGCTAATCAAAATATTTAAAATACGAAATAAAATAACTTTTACTTTATTAAAACTTAAAAAACAAATAAAAAAAATGATAAAAAATAACATTAAAACCCTATACTGCATACTGTTCCATTTTTGGAACACTTAGAATACACGATGTTATTAATCAAAAATTGTATAATATGGTTATGAAATTAATTTTATTTAATTCTACACTTAAAGACGATTATTTTAATGTATCATATTTAACAATTTTGCATTGAATCCATAAGAAATAGTACTTAGAACATCGCATTTTCATATAGTACAAATAAACATAAAACTATAATCTTTTAAAAATCGTATAAAATTCACCATCATTACTATCGATATGTAAAAATATCGATTTGTTACTGATCATGTGGTTTACATAATGGAACAATCGTTTTGTATTCTTATATCGATAATGTAGTTGTACCGCCATTTATATAAATGTTCCATTTATGGAACATCATGCGGATAATTACGCGATTGAAATTTATTGTAAAAATGACGATTTAGTATTTCAAAAATAGATATTTGGGATTTCCTATAAAATGATTTCTGTCGATCAAAACATTATCTACATTATTTAATCAGTTTATATTTTTCTTCGAAATGGACAACATTGCCGACGACGTTGACGCAATTATCAATGCTTTAAATATTCCTATCGAAAGTGAAGACGAAAATTGTGACATAGGTAATTCTGATGACGAATTAAATTGGAAAAATGATGACCAAGATTTAATTTTACCAGTTTTTTACCAAACACTTAATGAAGATACTGAACCAGAGCTTTTAGGTACGTCAAATAATTGTAATAAAACATCTAATGAAAATTTGATAAAATTACCGTATTGTGAACCATCAACGTCAAAATCTCAAAATGTTCAAAATAATGAATCTGACCTCGATCAATTACTTGAACAATTTGATAGAGATTATTTACAATAACCAATAGAAATTGAAAATATCGTAAAAATTCCTAATTCTGTTGATAAACCAATTAATTCAAATAAACGTTCAAATAAAAATAAAAAAACTGCACGTGATGATCCTGTAAAAAATTATAAAGACGTAGAATGGAAGTGTGGAAATTTAATTTTTGATGACAATTTTTTCAAGTTTCATGGTGAAAAGAATTTTTCAAGTAATTTATTAAATTTAGACACTCCTTTGCAATATTTTTCATACTTTTTTGATGATGAACTTATGCAACATATTGTTGAGCATACCATACTTTATAGTGTTCAAAAAAATCCAAATAAGCCATTAAAAATATCAGTTACAGATATAAAAAAATTTATAGGTATTTTAAATTTAATGTCAATAATTCATTTGCCCAATTCCAGAAGTTTTTGGAATCCAATCATTGGTAATCGAATTATTCAAGACACTATGGGTTTAAATAAATTTGAACTGATTAAACAATTTCTTCATTTTAATGATAATACTAAAATGTTACCGAGTGACCACGAAAACCATGACCGTCTTTATAAATTACGACCATTTTTAGATTACCTAAAAAGGAAATTTCAGACTATTTCGTTAGAAGAAAATTTGTCCATTGACGAGCAACTTTGTCCTACGAAAGCAAAAAGCTTTTTAAAACAGTATTTACCTTTAAAACCACACAAGTGGGGGTACAAAATTTTCGTTCTAAGTGGAATATCTGGTTTTATGTATAATTTTGAAGTATATACAGGATTGGAAAATAATTCAGAAAAACGCTTAAGTACAGAGCCTAATTTAGGAGCATGCGCAAATGTTGTACTACGATTATCCAGAATCGTTCCTAAATTTCAAAACTTCAAAATATATTTTGATAATTATTATACCACATTGGCACTAGTTGTTTACCTAGCAAAACAAGGTATTTGTTCACTTGGAACATTAAGAAGAAATAGAGTGCCTGGTATAAAATTATCAGACGAAAAACAGTTAAAAAAAAAAAGTAGAGGTTTTTTTTTCAGAATGTCTTACACAGATTGACGGAGTACCGGTAACAGCAACGGAATGGAAAGATAATAAAGTCGTCACTTTACTCTCAAATTTTTCTGGTGCAGAACCAGCAAGTGAAGTAACACGTTTTGATAAAAAAAAAAATGAACATATTTCTGTTCCATGTCCAAACGTAGTTAAAATTTATAATCAGCATATGGGTGGAGTTGACCTTTTAGACTCCATTATAGCTCGGTATCGGATCGCTATGCGAAGTAAAAAATGGTACTTTAAGTTGTTCTTTCACTTTATGGACGTCACAATAGTCAATGCTTGGTTATTATATCGAAAAAGAAAAAAAGAAAATACCATGTCGTTAGCAGATTTTCGACGTGAGATCGCTGTATCACTTTGCATGCAAGGGAGCAATATATGTACGCCAACTACAAGAGGAAGAAAACGAAATATTAGTGAATCGCCAAGTGAACCAAAAAAAAAAAAAGAGGTATGTACTGAACACTTGTAAGTTAATTTTTGATAATAATTAATATTTTGTGATCATAGGTATTCAACCATATATGCCACCAACGGATGTTCGGAAAGATCAAATCGGCCACTTTGCCATTGTTACAAATTTAAGGGAAAGATGCAAACTTTGTGGTTTGAAAAGTTCGATGCAATGTACTAAGTGTCGAGTATTTTTATGTTTGAACAAAAAATCAATTGTTTTTATACTTTTCATACTTAATTTGTGTGTTTATTAACAAATTGTGTAATTTCATATAAAATAAAAAAATTGAATTATTCAACATTTAAAAATCTAAATATTAGGTACCTATATTATAAAAGTATGTATTATAATAACTAATATATAAAATATAAGAAATATTCAAAAATGTATGTATTTTGTTTACTTGCATGATGTTCCATTTTTGGAACAATTGAACTTTTAGCTTTTTTGGGTAAAATAAAATTCAAAAATTTTTTTTAACATTTTTTAGAACATATATGTACATCTAGCAATCACATATAATTTTATTGTTGAAAATAAAAATGTCATGCAGTATAGGGTTAACAATAAAATAAACATTTTGTTTATAATGTAATGTTAATATTAGAAACATTATTTACTTTTATATTATATTATAAACTTGTTTAGATTTTGAAAAATGCTCATTATTCAGCTTCAACAACTAGATTATTGTAGAACCACAAATTTTCAGGCGGGACATATTTCGCTGCAAGGTCTTGCACATCCCGAAATTTAGCATCTTTTATTTTTAAAACTTCTGGGTGTAATAGAGGCAAATTTTCTTCGGGGAACTTCAATATTGCAGATTTTTTTTGTAATTGAAACTTTTCAAATCCTATTGAATTTCCGTATATACTACAAAATAAACCCTCTTTTTTATATTCCATACATCTATAGGCCATAATAGAAAACTTTTGGTCTTCCACACTTTTTACAATTTTTTTATACAATGGTTTTGTGTAATCTGAAAAATTTAAAATCATATCTCGGGATACATCTATGACATTGAATTTTTTCGATGTTTTTTTAACAATCTCTTTGTAGGATTCTGGCAAGTATATCCGTTCATGTTTCCTCTTTACCTTTTCTATTAATCCGAAACATCGATCACACGGTAAAAAGCTATGACCCGGCTCTGGATACCGGTGAGTGATACTTTCTAAGTTGAAACACTTAGATTGAACAACTGTATACAAATATTGGAATAAAGCGTTATTTTTATTCTGTGAGCTACAGTTGTCCGTAAAATATATATAAGTGTTTTACACCTGGGGTGAGTAAATTTTTAAGAAAATGGTCAATGAAACTTATAACATCATTTTGGCCTTTTTTGCCTGTCAATTCGTCATACATATAATGGTAAGATTTGCCAGTCTTCCCGGAATATATACAAAAATTATAAACCCAAATTTGACGTTTATAAAATACGTCACCACACGGAATGTGTGGCAGTGGCATATTTTGTTGAAAATCAAAACTCAATAACTCAATTTCTTCATCTAATTTGGATTTTTGAACAAACGATTTCAAGTCAGTATAAAATACTTCTGCTTTTCTTATATGCACCTCTTTTTCTACCTCAAACTGACGTTTTATTTCGAGATTTGTTTCGTGGTCAATTAAATTTTTTAAGCGGTCACAAGTTTGACACGTATCTGTTTTTGGTGTTCCGAAAGTTAAATTGAAATTATTTTTAAAGTATTCACTAAAATAATCATATTTAACAATTGGTTTTATATTCGTTTCACCTTTTTGGATCATTTCAAATACTTCCGGATCATTTTTTTCTAAATAAAGTTTATACATTTTAGAAATGTTTAGTTCGGGGGATAAATAATGAACATTTAAATTGTCGGATCGGCTGTAATGGGACTGGACTTTTGGGAAACTGTTAATATGGGCATCTATTTTAAATATAATGTCATTTGATATTTTATTTGGGCGTTTCAAGTGTTTGCCACGTAAATCTTGTGGACTTGGTTTATTATTTTTGATATTGTGTATAAGTCTGTCTACTAATGATTTTCCTATACCAAACAATGAACAAAAAGCAATTTTACAAACGATTAATTCGTTTGTAGTTAATCGTATTTTATAAGTACATGAAACCGATTTTTTTATTTCGGGTGTTCCTTTCACTAGAGGTCTACGTCTTTGAACATTATTTACACTATTTAGGCCACATAGAAAAGTGTCTTGTTTTTCTTTATTACCTATTGCATTGAAGGCATTGATTATCGAAGATTTATCTGTATCGGTGATTTTAGAAAAACATTTGTATATGCATTTACATGCAGGACCAGTTACACGTTTTGGTACTACCTTGTTTGTATAAATACTTGTATACTCCTCACCTGCGGCCCTTTGTTTTTTCACTACATTTCTTTTCCAAATGCTTGGATTTGCTTTTATTTTCTTACCATTCCTTGTTGGAACTTCATTAATAGTTCCTTCATCAGAGTTGCTACTATCGGTGGCTTCAATTACATCGGGACCATCTAACTTATTTTTTTCGCATTCGTCATCAGAGTCCAAACATAAAATACCCCCTAAATCATCTCTGTCAGATAAACCATCATTTCTTTTAAATATATACTCACTGTCAGATAAATTATTAACTGTTTCAAGTATAAAATCACTGTCTAGTTTAAAATCGGGGTCTGCGAAAGAATCGTCCAAATCGGAAAAGGAAACATCGAAATCTTCGAGACTATTAAGACGTATACTACCATCACCGTTCATATTGTCATATAATATAATCAAAACAATAGGTAATAAAAATATATTGTTATACGTCTTTATATTATAACCGATTAAAACAGTAAATTGTTATTAATATTATTATTTATTATAAATTAATAAAATTAATTAATATAAAAACAGCTAATACGTGATAACTGATCAAATAATATTATGTTATCACTTATCATACCATGCGGCTGGAACAGTGTTGTCCATGTTTCGGTGCAATAACCGGATATCTCCGGAGATACCCGGTTATTGCACTGAAACATGGGCAACACTGTTTTTATCATATTTTGGTGCAGCAACCGGGTATCTCCATTTGTATGATATAAGCTTATCTAATAAACGGATATACCTCGTTATTGCACCTAAATGTCGACAAAATTATTCTTTATCAGAAAATGCAAAAACATGTGTTTTGAAAAAAAGTGGAGATACCCGGTTCTTGCACCGGACCCTTCAATTCCACTTCCGCTCTTTTTCGTAGACTTAGAGCCATCAATCAAGTCAGCTGAAATCTTTCACCTGTCTTCACTGTTACACACGAAAATCAAAGTCGAAGAGCCCTACAAATCTAAAATAATCAGCCAATGTATCAACTGTCAGGAATACGGTCACACAAAAACCTACTGCGGATACCCCTCACGCTGCGTCCGCTGTGGCTCAAATCACAAGTCCCCTGACTGTCCGAATCAACGCTCGGATCCACCAAAGTGCGCTCTCTGTTCAGGCGTCATCCTGCAAGTTATAAAGGCTGTTCCATCTACAAGGAACTTCAACGTGCCAAAAAACCAAATATCAAAAGTAACTTTGTACCAACTAACACTAGATTTAATACCACAACTGTTAAAGATAGTCATCCAATAAATGACACCCACCCAATCCAGCCCGATCCTCATTCCCCCACCTATGCCCAGGCTACTTCTGGTAGGTCAGCTAATAATACAACTCCTTCAACCGCTTCTGATTTAAATTCTACCATCACAAACTTCCTTGAGGATTTCAAGTTACTGATAAATCCTCTAATATCCCTACTCACCAAAGTAATCGAAAAACTTCTTGCTAAATAAAATGTCAAACAAAGCTACAAATAAATCACTTTTAATACTTCAATTCAATGCAAACGGAATAAAAAATCACGTCAACGAACTCCAAACAGTCCTATACAATTCACGCATTGACTTAGCACTAATTACCGAAACCCATCTCACCAAATACTCCAGCATTTATATACCTGGGTATAAGCTTTTAAAAACCGACCATCCTGATAACACGGCTCATGGCGGTGCTGCTATTCTCATAAAAAATTCTATCCAATTTCAACCTCTTCCACATTTTTGTTTTGATTATTTACAATCATGTGCCCTAATCATAAAATTAAATAATATTCCTATTACTATTGCGGCTATCTACTCTCCTCCAAAACATAAGATAACAATTCAAAATTATACCAATTACTTTAACTCGATTCATAACAATTGCATTATAGGCGGTGACTTCAATGCGAAACACCTTTCCTGGGGTTGCCGTGCAAACAATCCGCACGGTCAGGTTCTTCACAAGTTTGTAACTAAAGGTAATCTAAAAGTTCTTGCTCCACCAGGCCCAACATATTGGCCGACCTCCGCTCGTAAAAACCCAGATATTCTTGACATTTTCATTTCAAAAATCCCAAACAACATTCACTGTACTACGGAGAATATACTCGACTTAAATTCTGACCATTCCTCTGTACTGCTAACTCTGAATGTCTCCCCTCCTCTTCGACAGGAATCCCCGAAATTATTTAATCAAACCACTAACAAAATCAAATTTCATGACATTATCGACCAACAAATCAAATTAAACATTAAATTAAAATCCTATGACGACCTGGATCTAGCTGTTAACAATCTCACAAACCCCATTCAAACTGCTGCTTGGTCATCTACAGTCACTTCTCTCAACCCTTCTAAAACTCCTGCTATACCAGTCCACATTCGTGAAATCATTGTTGAAAAACGTAGGTCTAGGGCCCTGTACCAACGAACCCGCCTACCTTCTCACAAGCAAAAATACAACAAACTAGCCAACCATCTAAAAAAATTGTTAGCCAAACTCAAAACAAAATCTTTTGAAAGCTTTCTAACTAATCTCTCAAATGATGGTAGTCTTTGGAAAGCTACAAAAAACGCATGCAAAACTAAAGCCCCAAACGTCCCAATAAAAAAATACGATGGTAGCTTTGCTATATCTGATATAGATAAAGCTGAACTGTTCAAACTCCATCTATCCGAAATTTTTCAGCCTCACCCTGATATTGCCTCTCCTAATAACATCAATTCTGTGGAAGAGTTTCTAAACTCCCCACTACCAGTAACACATCCAGTCAAACACTTCACTTCGAATGAAGTTAAATATGCTATTGATAAATACCCACTCAAAAAGTCTCCAGGGTTTGATCATATTACTGCTGAAGTTGCCAGATGCCTGCCAAAAAAAGCGATCATCCACCTCACACATTTATTTAACTCTGTTCTCAGGCTCTCATATTTTCCCACTCTCTGGAAATTCTCGATTATTATTCTTGTTCTAAAGCCAAATAAACCTGCTGACTTCATCTCCTCTTACCGACAAATTAGTGTGTTACCCTTTTTCGCTAAAATCCTCGAAAGACTTTTACTAAAACGAATTCTGCCTGACCTAACTATACATTCCATTCTTCCCAACTCCCAGTTTGGATTTCGATCTACACACTCAACAATCCACCAAGTTCATAGAGTTGTAGATGCAATTTCTTACGCACTAGAAAAAAAATTATATTGCACTTGCGTTTTT